GCTACTCCTTGGAGGCAAGGATTCTGGGGCTTCATCTGACATATTTTGGACATGTTGCCAGGAGGGACGGGTCCTTGGAGAGGGACATCATGCTTGGGAGGGTGGAGGGACAGCGCAGGAGGGGAAGACCCTCTATGAGATGGATTGATTCAGTGACTGGGGTAACCGGGATGGGTGTGTCAGAGGCAGTGTGGTTGGCGCAGGATAGAGCAGGGTTTAGGGCTGTTGTACATAGGGTCGCTATGAGTCGCAAACAACTCGACGGCATATAACAACAACAACATATAAACAAAAGCTCTTTGGGGTCCTCAGTGATTAGCAGGTGCAAGAGATCCTGAGATAGTGTTGCAGGGCTGCTCCTGGACCCCAAGCCCTGGGGAAGGACTCTTCCCCACTGCCTTCACCCCACCCCGCATGGGCACATCCACCAGCGTGGCTGATCTACCAAGTGTCTAGGAAGTACCTCGTACCAGCAAGGCTGACAGGTGCCACGGGCAGAGCTGTGAATGACAGACAGGCAGATCTGCCTTCATTCCTGCTCTCACCCCATTGGCCAGGATACGTGTGGGGGTGGTCTGTGAGCCCAAAGCCAAAGCTGTGCCAACGTGTTGATGGCACTTCTGCAGGACAGCACAGAACAGCCCTACGGGGTTTCCAAAGTTGTAAGAACAAACAGACGTGGACTGGAGAAGGCACCGCTAGAGAGCTCCTTGGAGGCAAAAATGATTAAGCTTTGTCTCACATACTTTGGGGATGTTGTTAGGAGAGGCTATTCCTTGGAGAGGGACATCATGCTTGGGAAGGTGGAGAGATGGAGACCCTTAACCAGGTGGACTGACAGTGACCACAGCAATGGGCTCAAGTGTGTCAGAGATGATGAGGACGGCACAGGACAGGGCAGGGTTCAGACTCGTTCACAGGGACGCTGTGAGTCATACTAGACTCGATGATACCTGAGAACAAATCGTGACGGAAGCAGACGGCCTCACCTCTTCTTCGGAGAGGCTGGTCAGTCCCAATCACACCATCTTTTGGTTAACAGCTGAATTCTTTAACCATTCTGACACCAGGGTTCCTTCAGAGAAGTCAAAACCTCAGTAAAGGAACACCCGCCCATGAAGTGGAAACGCGGAGAACTGGCAGCAATGACACACAGCAGGTTAGAGTCTTTAATACACAACAAGCTCATACAAATGTACTGGAGCCCAGCAGGTAGGACACGGACACTGACGATCCACACGGGAGGAGACATGACCGCTTAACAGAAAAGTCCTGGCATCTGCTGGAAAACAACGCGATGCAGCAGCCAGACGCCCAACACTGTCCCTCGTGGCCAGGTCTGCACAACTTCAGCCAGGCTGGACGACCGGGCTCTGGTCAGCTGGCACGATGGGCACGCCTGTCCCTGCTGGTGGCAGCGGAAAACCATACAACCACGTCTAGAACCCTCTTTTTCAATCTGTCCTAGAGTTTCAGAATATCTGGTCCTCTTTAATTCCATAATCCCACCTCTGGGAACCTAGCTAAGGAAAGCACGCTGGAAAGGGCTCTCTGCGCAGTCATCTGTGGACAGCCTGTCCGCTGCTGGGCAGAACAGGGCGCAGTCTGCCCCCAACAAGACCAGCCAAGAGCAGGAGGCCTGGTGGGTTAACAGAAGACTCTAATATACCCCCAAAACTAGTATCACAAGTTCCATAAAACAGAAAGAAAAGAAAATTAAGTGATTACCAGGGAGGAGAACCTGGAAGGAGAGACACCAAAACACTCCTTTCCTTTCCTTTATTTTCCAAAACTCCCACAGCCTGTGGGCCCCGTTCTAGTGTGGGCCACGCGGGAGTGTGAGAGGGCCAGGCCCACCTCCTCCCTTGCTGCCTCACCTCTCCTCCTCTGACCTGGGGCAGGCCCACCTCCACACCATGGCGGAATGCTGAGATGACCTGGGGAGGCGTGTGTCCCCAGCTCAAGCGCAAAGGGCAGGATTTGCCCTCACACCCAGGCTTGTCTTACTGACCAGCTTTTCCCTTTGGACCCAACCAGTCACCCGAGCCCCATCTTGCAGCCTTCCTAAGCGGCTCAACAAAGCTTCCTTTAGACCTCCTGGGGCAAAATAGAAGGGGTTTCTGAAAGGGTCTCTACCCATCAAATCCCAAGCTGCCCACCACTCACACTAGCCCCTAGCCCAAGGACCCATAACTGCAGGCCATGGTCACAGGAGGGTGACCCTGTCCCACCTGGACACAGAAGCATCAGCACTATGGTCACTGGGGGTGCTCCAATCCCACAAGGACACAGGAGCATCAGGATCTCAGTCACCAGAAGGGCTCCTGTCCTGTCCCGTCCAAACACACGATCAGGGAAGCAGCCCTCTCCCATCTGTTACTGCCACCAAACATGGAGCACCAGGGAGATGGGTCTTTGCTGTTCTCAGAATGTCACAGCTGTGAGACATCACCCGAAGTTCACCTGTGCCCACACTACACTCCAGGCCAGCGTCACGCAGACTTCTCCACCCCATCTCCAGTGCTGCCATCATGCCCCTGGGTTCAGGTCTGGGGAGGCGTTGCACAGACGAGACACCCGCATCGCCTGTGGTACAAACAGAACTGTGAGCACAGGGAACTCTCCTGGGCATGCACCGTTCAACACTCCTAGAAATCAAAGCTAGAGAAAGTGTAACCTCAGAATATGTACAAAGCACCCTTCCCCGCGGGCTTCTTGAGTGGGGTCCCCCAAGCACAGGTCTCCCTGGGGACGCAGGAGGCTCAGCTCTTGGCCCTGCATCTGCCACCAGAACCAAGGCGCCCCTCTGCTCCCCCATGGCCCCAGTGGAGGGCAATTCCTGGCCTGCCTTCTCTCATCTGCTCCACTTGCCCCGCAGGTAGGGAGCCATCAAGAAGGTCACAGACAGGTGTCAGCACCAGTCCCCACTCTGCCCATGAACGCCAGGCAACAGCACAATCCGGCCACCAGACCCAGGAACCACCACCAGCCACACTAGACAGGGCAGGACGGACAGCCAGCAGGAGTGGGGCGGCAGTCTGACCCTAAAACACAGGAACATGCTGGTACTTTCTAGAGACTACACGGGCTGACCAAGGGGCGGGGCGCATGCATGGCAGGGTCCTTACCCTGGCAGGGCTGGGCTACATGACACTCTTGGGTTCTGTTGCATCCCCTGGTGCCCCTGCACCCTCAGCCCAGAGCACCTCCACCTGGCAGGGACGTGGCCGGCCAGTATGGCTGCTGGAGACAGGACCGAGCACAGAGCTATGAGCCACCAGAGCCCTTCCACCATGGGGTCGTCCCTCACAGGGGTCTCCCTGGGGTGGACCGTGCGTCCTTTCTCCAGTCAGCTGTAGCGAGCACCAGGGTCCACCTGAGCAGCTGGGCTGTGTTCAGGTGGCCAGTGAGCAGGGCAGCCGGGCTAACAGAGTTTGGGGTGCGCACTGGACATGGTCCACGATCCCAGCATCAGCACCCTGACATCACGTGGCAGAGGCTGCTGCAGGAGCGTGGCACTCCCAGCACCACCGAAACCCTCAGGGAGAGAGAGATGGGCCTGGGGCCCAGCCTCCAGGCACCTCGGGGCACCCAGGACACGGGTCTCTGGGTTGGGCAGGACTGTCCCTCTGCAGTCCAGCCAGGACCATACAGAGCAGAGGCAGATGAAGCCAGGGTATGACCTCCACCTCCCCCTGGTCCAGGCGCTCGGGTGAATGCGGGTCATTTGGCATTGAAAAATGGCAGGGCATCACAGCATCCAAAGGGCTTGGCCAAACCTCCTGCAAAAGCGGGTTCTTGGTCACCTGCTGTGAGGATACCCAAGGCCGTCCACCACTAAGAGGGGCAGCCCTGTCCCCCAGAATTAGGGCACGAGTGTCAACACCTCAGGACAAGGCAGCCCGCTGCTCCAGCTGGGGCTGCAGAGGGGAACCCTCTTGCCTGTGGTGCCCAATCCTTGATCAAGGGGAGGGGTGGCCCCTTGCACAGGCTGGTCATCCATCCACACCAGCATGGTCCTCTCATAGAGGCCACGGGCCGGCAGTGGGGCAGGGGATGCAGAGGCTGAGGGAAGGCCACAGGTGACCTGAATGAAGAGGTCAGTCTCAAGCTAGGCAAGGCTGGCACCAATAAAGGGTCAAAAGGAGGGAAACCGAATACAAGCTTGTGGGGATTCCCCACAGGAGCCCCAGGAGCAAAGTATGAAGCCCTTCCTTCCGCCTCTCAGACAGGTCTGCCTCCTGGGGCAGCTCCATGACACCACTGACAGGCCCAAAGGAGCCTACATGACAGGCAGGTTCCAAGTCCCCAAAGTCCTGGCAGGAAAGCTGTGGCCACAGCAGCCTGGCACTGGCCGAGGTACCTCCCCTTAGCTGTACTACATGATCTTTCTAGGTGGGTCAACTGGGCTGTGTGCTCAAGTGCTGTTAAGCTTGTCCAGGAGAAGTGCTGGAACACACCCAGCAGAGTGACCACCTGGGCACTGAGGCGAGGCCAGAGAGGGCCAGCGAGCATCTGTGGGCAGGGGGCCAGCATGCCCACCTCAGGGACACGGGGAGCCACCAGCGTGGCTAACCCGGCTTCCCTCTGTCCAGGGCTCCTGGTGAGAGTCGATGGCCAGTGTGATGTCCAGGTGAGCAGAGAAGGAGAGCTCTAAGGGAGGGAGAGGGGGCCCCCTGAACCCAGCCTGGCTGGGAGGGTCAGCACCAAGGACTCCAGGGCCAGGTGTGGGTGCAATTAGGATGATGAGGTCGCCTAAGACTGCAAGAAGCTGAGGGGGAGGCATGCGCTGAGCTGCAGGGGCAATGGCTGGCAAAAGCCCAGGGGAAGCACAGGAGATGAGCTCCAGGGTGCCCAAGTGTGACGGAGGGTGCAGGGCAGAGAGGCCAGGAGATCAGTCCCAGAAGACGGGCTGTGCTGATGTGCGCCCGCTTCCTCTCCGCGGCGAGGGATCCAGCCACCCCGGAGGCTGCAGCTGCTACCAGGGTGCTGGTGGTCCCTTAAAGGTTCCGAGCTCGAGTGGGCAGTGCTGGGGCTGAGCCTGACCCGCTGGAGGCGGGATGCACGGGGCAGGGCCCGCTGCCCGAGGCGGCCAGCTGGCGGCACAGCGTCTGCCGCTCGCGCAGTGCCCGGTTCGAGGCAGAGGCCTTGCGGATCTGCGCGCGTCGCGCGTGGCGCTGCGGAGACTTGTAGGTTCGGCGCAGCTCGGCCAGGAAGCCCTGGTAGTTGTTCCGCAGGGGGCTGTCCGGCTGCATGTGAGGGATGGCCCACTTCTCGGCCTCCCCGGTCAGGCGGGACACCAGGAAGGCCACTCGCTCCGCCTCCCCGGGGAAGCGGGACGCCTGGAAGATCATGAACCTGTCCATCTGCATGAGGAAGCCGGCCAGCTGCCCTGGGTCCCCCGAGAAGGGCTCGGGCAGCGAAGTGGGCGGGGTGGTCAGGGGCCGTGTGCCGCTGGACGCGATGGCCGAGATGGGCGGCGTGATCTGCAGGGCGCCCGGGATGCGCGCCCGGGTGCGCAGCAGCGTCAGCTCGGCCATCACGCTCTCCAGCATGTGGGTGAGGTTGGCCTTCTCGGCCCGCAGGGTGGACGCCTCCCGCCGCAGGGCCGAGTTGGTCAGGCGCAGCGAGGTCAGCGTGTCGATCACATCCTCCATCTGCGCGTTCGGGGGCGCCGCCGGGGCGGGGGTCTCGGCTTTGGACGTCTGCGGCTGCACCATGGCGACGGCGGCTGGGGAGCCCCAAGCTGATCTAGGCTGATCTAGAACAAGGGTCGATGCGGACGGAAAGCGGGGCGCCAGCGGGGGTCAGTCGAGGCGCCGAGGGCGCGCAGGGCGGGGTCCCCAGGGTCGCCGGATCGAGATCCCGGTGCGCGCCGCGCGCGGCCGGCGAGCTGGGCAGCGGGTGGACGAGCTCAGGGTCCTGCGGGAAGAAGGCGATGCTTTGAGCGGCTCAGGGCTCGGACAGTGCCCCGCGGGGCCAGGCCGCACAAAGCGGGGACCCCGGCCCGGCCGGGAGAACAAAGGCGAGGGCACCTGCGGCGGCCGGGCCTCGAGGCCACGGCGGGGCCCCGGGGGCGGCGATCGCGTACCTGAGTCCCGCGGCGTCC